ATATATTTGTATAATTTTTAGAACAATTGAACAACAGATAAATTAATAGCAAAACAATCAAACATCAATAAATTAGTTCTAAAAAAGGTTTAATGAGCATAATTATCATCAAAATATATAATACGGGATAAGTTTCTCTTCTTTTACATACTGTTAGGGTGAATTCTACTTCCATACCATTTACTTTCAGCATAATATACATTTTTATTATGTTCATCTTGGGTAACAATGATCGGTAATGGTAAAATTTCTTTAAATGCTACTGGTTCAGTTATATGAGATGTATTATGTTCATCTTGACTAACAATGATAGTCTTTATATAATCCTAATAAAGAAGGTCACTTACAAAACTTAATCTTAGTATTGGGCATACTATAGCTATATTGACAAGCAGATATACTATTAATATAATGTTTAATAAGTACCAACCCATTACATTTGGTAGCAGCAATATTAGAATAAAGTTGGGAACTAAAGTCAATAAGGTTAATAAAGGAAATCTTAGATAAGATAATGCATAAGTATCATATATTAGCAACAAGATACTAATTCTTAACAAAATATCTCAGGTATTCCAGCAACATGAGCCAAGAAGGCAGATCAAAAAATTTCTAGAGACTTTATCACACTCTTTTAACAGTTTTTAATAAATCAAAATTGTATAAACCAAAGACTTGTACTTGCAGCAGAGCAATAACAAGAAACATATAATTTTTTACAAAAGATAAATGCAGTAAATTACTTACCAATTCTGGAACAAATGTTAAATCTTCAAAAAATCTTACAGTACAACTTCTAACCTTTTAAGACAAAGATAGTGAAAATGTATTAACATGATTACTCTAAGTAGAGCTTCTATTTAAAGCTAAAAAAATAGAAGATAAAGAAAAACTACAATATATCATTACAGGATTAAAGTATACAGCATTATAATAATATCTAACTCAAGTACAAGCAAGTGAAGCTATAAAACTATTTTAAGACTAAAATATCCACAACATATTCTTTTGATCCAAATCATAATCTATTAGCTAATTTAACAGTAGCTAGTTCATTATCTTTTATTATTTCTAACTTTGAATCCTCACAAATTGCTCATTAATGAAGTTCTTAAAAGTATTGTAATCTAATAAAATAAGAGCTTTACAGCTTTAAACCTTTCCTTCTATCTTAAGTAGACTTTCTCAATAAGATCTATTATTACAATTGATATTTCTAATATTATTATTCTTGTAATTAACTTTTTTTTGTTTACTTTTTTTATTTGACTAATATTATTGTTTTTTTGGTCTTTGCTTCTACAATTACATACTATATTTCTTTTGTATATTTGCTTTTTTCATTTATAAATAATTTTCTTTATACTTTCTTATAGATTATGATTTTATTTTATTATTAGATTCTGTTCTATCTAATTCTATTAGTATAGTATCTTGTTTATTATCAGCATTAGCAAATATTTTTTTTCTATTGGCCTATAACTATAATTCTGATTCTTTTCTATCTTTGATATTCTATATATTGCTAAGTTAGTTTGATGCAAATTTAATTGCTTCATCTAAAGTTTTGGATATCTGATAGTTCATTTTAACTTTTGTGACACCTTTCAATCTTTTTATGAGATACACTACTTTATTTGCTTTGTACATCTCCTCTATTTAACCCAATATATTTTTAAACCTTAATACATATTCTTGGACTGATGATATTTGTTTCAAGCTTGTGTTAAAGAAATTGCTGATGGTTGGAAGGTTGGAAAGCAATTTTAATTGCATTTTCAAATAATTTTTAGTCTTAAAATAGTTTTATAGCTTCACTTGCTTGTACTT